TCATAAGTTCCTGGTAAGTTCCTGCATTACTGCAATGTTAAACTCTGTTTTAGGGGTCACAGAAATATTTCTGAGTTACAAAATTCTTGACGCCATTTATAAAATGACTTTATATAAGGTGACAGTAATGTCAGATAGACTGAAATGCTTATAATCAAGGTTAACTGATGTCAGCAAAAATAGCATGGAGTAGTTGATATATCTCATATCCTAAGGTTTATTAAAAGTATATATATATATTTTTTTTGTAGCAGTGAGTCAAATTTAATCTCCTGGGATATACTCCTCTTTATAATGTTGAAATTGAAAACAGTTTTCCAATGTGCCTGTGATAGGGTGCATTACTGTCAGTTTTCCTCTTTAATAACTGAAATAACTTACCCTGTAAAGAAAAACAGGAGAATAATACAAAATTAAAATTAATATGTCAAGTCCCCAAATACTTGTGCTCTGGATTATAATTTAGAAATTTGTGTCCAGATAAAGGACTTATTTCCAAGTAAATTTGCACAAAAATTGTTAAAGCAGTGATTGCACCCCTGGGAAATTCCTAGTTTAGTTCTCAAAGAGTAAATAAACAAGAAGAAAAGTAGAAAGATTGGAACAGTTAACATGGTCTAGAAAATATGCCATAATAGTCTTTAAAAAAGCTTACATCTGTAAGATGCACTTAGTTTGTTCTTTGGGAGTTCAATTTTATTTCATTGTGTATTTTACTTTTTGTGTGAAGTCGATCTGAGCACCCAAAGGCAAATTAAACTTTCTACCTGGTGAGAAATGACATTGTCTACGTTGAAGAAAATATTACCAAACATTCTAGATACTTTCTTCATTATAGATATTGCACAAAACCCACAAAGATATGTTGTGTTGCTTAGAGAAAGTATATAAATCATTTGGCAAGTTCTGTTACAAAAGAGAGATACCTCACAGGGGAACCAATATAACATTATCTAAAACTTAAAGAATAGAACTTAGTGCCTTGGGTTCATCCACTATCATTGATGTACTCATAAGCATTTTAAAATAATTTTCTCTGGGCTCAAAACTCAAGGTTGCAGTCACTGGGAGGGATACAATAATGTCACTGTATGATTGCTGTCTTTAAAATGTCTCAAACCAGGTGAGGGAGGTAAGTAATCTTTAGGAAACAATTAGAAAATCCAACACAAGAAAATAAAAGTAGTGACAAACTAATGTATACATAATTTCTTAGGAACCTAAAGAATAGTATGAGATACAGATGAATAAAACGGTTTTTCTTTCTCTGTTTTTATCCAAACCCAAATACACATACACACACACACACACAGAGTAAATACACAAAAACTCTGTAACACCTGACACAGGACTCTCTTCCCTCAATAAGTAAGTCTCCAAAATAACTTAATATTAATCAAAAATTAATTCATGGAGAAGCAACTGCTCCATTCACATACTGAATCTAGAAATTCAGTTCATGAAATCTAAGACTCTTTTACGATCAGAAGATTTGCTTTTTTCATTGCTAAATGTGTGGCATTTGTTAATTTTGTTATTTATGGAAGAAACAAAGAGACTTTAAAAGAAGGGACTATTTAAAGTGATTTTCACACTGACCAGTGAATATACCTTCACTCCTCTCGTGAATACACCTTCATTTGTTCTGTTTCTCACTACGAACTTATTGAGGAGGTGCCAAGAAATAATGGCTGAAGAATTTTTTGTTGCCTCCAGAACTGTAATAACATAAAATTTCAGTTGTTTAAGCCAAAAATTTGTTTTAAGTATGCTGGTGGTTACTGATGAAACTTGAAGGGAGAGTAGAGGGAACTTGGAATATATATAGCAAGGACTGTGCCTAGGGAGGGAGCAGATCTCCTGGCAGAACCCAAGAATGGCTCCCAGCTGAGACCCTAGGACTACAAAGAACCAAGTGAAAAGTGAGGGAGAAAACAGGTGACCTACCCAAGGCTGCGTGTGGTACAAAGGACTCTCTGTCCCTCACTCCACATTGCAGAGCAGCCTGTAACCAGGCATTTATTCTCCTGAGGTTCTTTTTTGAAAGCAGTTGAAGAAGGCAGAGAACTAAGATGGCTAAAACAGATTATTAGTGACCCTGGAGTAAAGCCTTCCCCCATTCTGGCATTTAAGGAAGTAAGAGAACAAACTGCCTATCTCTTTGCTCTAAAGAGAAACCCCAAATCAACAAATTATGCCACATCACCAGATTTTTCATCCTTAAATGTGAAAGAATGTGAATGGATTACCTGAAGAAACCATTAAACATTCAAGGAAAAGCTCTAGACACAGAGGCAGAAATAGTGAAGAGAAAGAATTTAGAAAACAGAAGGGGACTAAAATATATATAAAATAGAAAAACAAAAGCCCTTTTTTCTTTTCACTTTAACAGTTTTATTGCAATATATTTTACATATATAATTCACCCATGTAAAGTGCACAATTCAATTTTTTAATTAAATTTACCAAATTATGAAACCATCACCATAAATCAGGTTTAGGACATTTTCATCACTCCAGTAAGATTTTTTGTACCCATTTATTGTGAATCTCCTTTCCCACCCGCTGTCCCGAGCAACCAATAATTTGTCTCTATAGATTTGCCTTCTCTGCATACTTCATATACATGGACTCATATAATATGTAGACTCATGTCTTGCTTCTTCCGCGTATGTTTGTGAAACACACTGAGGCCTGTCCATGTTGTAGCATATGTGCGTCATTCATATTCAGAACTCTTAACACCCATCAGGAGACAGTGGACATTACATCTATAATGAAAGAGAAGGATATAATGAGAAAGCAATAAACATAGGAAAATGGAAAGCATTTGGAAATTAAAAATATAGGTGCCAAAACAAAAATATATTAAAAAGAATGGACGGTAAAGTTGAGGAAATCCCCTACTGTCGTAATCACTACTAACAGGTTTGCATTCTCTCATATCCTTTTATTTCCTATTCTGTGCACTTAGATATAAATTTTATAACTAAAGGTTTATAATTAAAGGTTAATTACATCACAAAATAAAAATAATTTATATAAAGAGAAGTTGAAAAAAAGAAAAAAATGCACATCTGCATAAAGGAATATTTTTTCATCTGGAGCAAGGCATATTGGTAGATGTCATTATCATTAGGATCATTTTTATCAGACTGTAATTACAATCTTGTATCCTTCTTTTCTCACTTAAGCTTTCATGACCATTCTACTGTTATCACACTGACTTTAAAAGCTTCACTTTTCATAATTGCCGCATATTTCATCCAGTGGCCTTGTACTTGGTTGAATTTTGACTTATTTAAACATTTAGGACATTCTCACATTTTCAGACGTTTAAATAAATATGTATCACTGTGTAAACATTGTTCTAACTATAGACTATTCCTCAGGTTAGATTGTCCAGTGAAATTTCTGGGTTGAAGACTATGGATACTTTTTAAGATCTTTGTTACAGCTTACTGGTTATTTTCCATGAGGTTTATAAACTAACCATTCTACATGACAACTTGCACAGATTTGAAAGAAACACTTAGCCGTAATACGTTTCCCATCAGCTTATTCACCATAATGTGCCAATTATAAATTTATAATATGGTATTAGTACCTTTGTGACCAACAGGAATTTAATTTGGGGATAGTGCTGAAAATACTTCCTTTTACCACATTGTTTAAAGTAGCCAGCAAATTCCATGGTGTGATAATATGCTTTATGTTTAAATATAATAAAGATTCATCTTTCTACCTATATCAGTACACACACACAAATGTGAACATTCCACAATACTACTTATTAAATTTACATGTTTACCAGCATGAACAACAACATAAGTGGTTGCTTCAGTGGCATTTCCTAAAATGCTATCTTCCCAGATTGGTTCAGATGTGCTTCTTAATACTTCCAGAATGCCCACAGTCTGTATTATTGTTCTTACCAGATTGCATTTAAATGAACTCTCAATTAAGATGAACTCTTTTTTAAAAAATCATCAGTATATAAGTAACACAAAAGTAGACATTCTGTTTGATTCATATTTCCAGCCCTAACATCAAATACATAATGCCCACCACAACATTTATTCACCATGTTTATCAACATGAACTGAACTTACTTAAATAAGTTCAGAAGAGCGTGAATTTAGGCCCCTTTCAATAATTATTTTGCTGTTATTTCCTTACATTAGGAAACTGCTTTTCAGAAATATTTCTGCCATTTCTTTTTTCAAATTGGTTATCTTGAAACTAAATTTTTTAAATATTTTTAATTTTTTTAAAAAATCAAAATCTATAGAGTTGAATTAATAAATTTAGGGAAATGAAATAGAAGATTGTCACTTGTGGATTTATTTAAGGAGCAAATAAGGGAATCCAAATTTGCAAATGTTTGCTTACTATATTTTGGAAATCTAATTCTCAAAAAAGAATTTTTCTTAGAAATTACTGAAATAGAAAGCCTCTCTGTGCATTTGGAATGTAATTTTCTATACCAATCTCATTGGGAGTATGAGAACTACATAAAGCATGCCTGAAATGCATTCCTCAGAACCTGTGGTCCAGTTTTTCTTGATCATAGGACTTTCTAGGCCAGTGTTTGGTTCACTTTGGTTTCTATCTATATCATATGATCTGCTTTTTGCCTTCCAAACTTCATAAAAATCTTGTCTGATTACAGTTTCTTCCAGTATTCAACTCCATTGTGGATTTATGATTCCCTTTTCTACATTTTTATTGTTATTTCAGATGCATTGGAATGAGGGCTGAAAGATAACTCCGTGTCAGCTTTCCATTTGAACTAAAGTCTTTAACTGTTTAACAATAAATATCATTTTAAGGTTGAGTATTGTCGATTGGAAATTTTTGTCAGAAGGAACTTACTGATAAAATAGAAAATGCTGCCAATCATTGGTTGATCACACCATGAGACTTTTTTTTTAAATTGTGGGTCTTAGTGGCCTTTGAAAGTACACTACCAAACAAATCTTCCCTTCTTGTATTTATAGAGATTTGCTTGCTGACCAAGGGCCGCCGCACTGCCAGTGTTCGAGCCGATACATATTGTCGTCTTTATTCACTTTCTGTGGACAATTTCAATGAGGTCCTGGAGGAATATCCAATGATGAGGCGAGCCTTCGAGACCGTTGCCATTGACCGACTAGATCGGATAGGTACTCTCTTCAGTTTTCTAACTTTTTTTGTGTACAACTTAGTTATACTTTAGTGGACTGATACATGTTTGCAATCATAAGTCCTAAATGCTATAATAGGTTGCCTATTAATTAGCATAGAACTAGCAGTTAGCTCTAGCCCTATTTCTACTATCTAACTTTCTCTTCTAAGTATTCTGGGTTTATTTAATCATCTCTATTTTTACTAGCTGCTCAGTCTGATTTCCCCAGTGATGTCAAAACAATTTGAATCTTCAGGTAAAAAACAATGATAAAAATTTTAGGTAGCACTAAAATAGAACTAAAAATATAATAGTATGAGTCTACATTACAAACCAAATAATTTTACTACAAGGTTTAAAAATTTTTATGTATCAACTTTACATTTTTAGCTTTATATTGAGAACTGAAAACTTGTAGATTTTATTTGTCTGAGTAGAAACTTCTGGAAACGTTTGTAATACAGACTCATGCAGGAAAAGCCTTCCTAGAAGTGCCCGACATAGATGCTTTACTTTGTAAACATCAACTTATTTTACAGTCTTCTCTGCTCTCCAATAAGAATATATAAATTAGACCTTATTAGTTACACTAGTTAAAAGATCTGAAGAATTGCTATAGTAAAGTTAGAACAGATTGGCTTGCCATTCGCTTCCCAAGATACGCTGGAACATTCTGATGTCAGAAGGTGGTATGCATTCATTTTCTATACCTAAATCCTCTTTCCCCACCCTACCACGCTCTGCCCCCTTTCCTTGCTTAACTGTACTCCATCTTCATAACCTGGGTTTAGACATCACTACCCTGTAGAAATCTTGTGTGACCTCCTGCCGGCTCCTAGGCTGAGTATCCTGGGTATGTTCTCCCATCCCCCTAGGAAATTCCTCCATCACAATACTGCTTTTATCATTGCAATTGCTCTAACGATGCTAAGATTTGTGAATGTAGAGATCATGTCTAATTCACTATTACATTCACAGTACCTAGTACACAATGAATATTCTTGAAGAGAGCTGGTAGGGAGGGATGAGGGAATCAATGATCTCAAAGGATATGGGGTTGGGATCACTTGTAAGTAAACAAGTCCTTCATTCTTATTGAAGGTAAGGACCATTGATTGATGTAGTCTTATGTCAGCTTTTCTTACGCACTCTGTCTTTATTTCCCTGCTACAGAGTGGGATGACAGATGCATTAGGCTCTAAAATTAGGTTAGGAGAAGTAAAGGTAGTATTTGGACATTATCATTAGACATAAGACACATATTAGAAATTCATACTGACAATTTAGACACGTAATAGGACATAGTGTTGAGAGAGACAGTGCCCAAAAAAGTGGGTATTCTGAAAGCATCTTTATTTAATTTGAAAATAATTTGCCTCTTTGTGGTATGTGAGTGCTCATGGTAGAGCTAGAGACTAATTTCTGAGCACATGCGTTTTTTTCCTAAGCCAGCTAGACATTTTCAGAGAAAGCGTTAAAATCAGGGTATTTTAATAGAGAATTTCTGTTAATCTGATCAGCTTCACTCTCATCTAACTTATTCCAATTAATTTTTATAAGAAAGTTTGCATGAAATGGTTTGCAATCAATAAACCAGGCAATAAAATTGCAAATAAGCACCAAGCATTTGCAGTTTTGATCCTTATAAAATTCTAACAGTGCATTAAAAAGTATAATATTTCTCCATAAGTTCACAGATATTTACATTACAAAACGTTGACTATTCACATGATCACAAAAAAGTATTATCTTTCTCCATTCTGTGGCTATTGCTTATACATGTAAGACCATATTTAGTTAAGGCAATATGCTAAATGAGCATTTATATTTATTACAGATATAGGAGCTTTTGTTCTTGAGAAAATTAGAACAGTTCTATAAGGAGAGACAAACATTTATTTCGGCAGTCATTTAAAATGATAGTTTTCCAGCATCCAAGTAAATTATAACATAGATTTCCATTAAAAAGTATTCCTTCTAACTCTAACTTCATTTAGCAATATGGCAAGTTGATTCACTTTTCAGTTATGATATTTATCTGGGGATTATTTTATCGATGATGTCACCAAAAGTCACTAATTTCCCCCTCTTTCATCAATCTAATTTTGATTCTATTGTCATCCTGCCAGAGAATGTCTACTTATTGCAAACCACTCCAAAGACAATGACAGGAAGGAGAGGTAACGCTTACTGAGGTTCTAAAGGGAGCTGAGAACCTGCCATACACTGTGCCCCTTAATCCTCACAAAGACCTTTCAGAAAAGGAAAGATTATGAAATGGTTCTCCACTTGGCCGTGCATAAAAATCCTCTGAGGAAATACACTTTTAAAGTACTGAAATCTGGACCCCATGTCTGGTTATTCTGGTTTAATTAATAGGGTTCAGATGAAAATCAGTATTTTTCAAAGCTTCAGAGAGGAGAAGACTATGAATGTATGGTGGAGGATTACTGGTATAAGGCACTGGTCAGAGGCAAAGGACTTGCCACAGGGCTCCTCAGATTTGCATGTGAGAATCTCCTGAGGATCTTAGTAAGATGCAGCATCTTGGTCAGCAAGTAGGAGGGGGCTTAAGAGACTGCATTTCTAGAAGGCACTCACGTGATACAGATGCATGCCGCTGGTAAGAATCTGCCATCATATTTGCTGTTTTCCTTCCCCAGTCCTGTTTCTTTTTAACCAGTCTCTCTTGGGCATTGTTCTAACCTTCCTATGTCCCGTTCTCCTTCTGAGTGAAACAGGCTTCTAAACACATCCACCTCTAAGAGTGGAGGATTAAATAAAATAAGTCTACCTAAAGCCTTTTGTAGACTAGCTGTCACATAGTAAGTGTTCTATTGTCCTTTACTGGAAAAAAAAAAAAGTAGCTTTAAACTTAAATTTTGATTCCAGATCCATCCTGATCCAAATGCCCTTTCTTCTCCCACTCTTCTAAGTAGCCCTCAGGTCAGATATCTCCCTTTCTTCTGTAAGATGGCTTTTGCCACATTACAGACTTTTCAACTTGACTTGCACAGAAGGTAAGATTTCCCAGGGAGCTACAGGAAGTGTGAAAGGCAGGAGCCATCTTTCCGTTCGCGTCTAAAGGTGAGTACTTGGCTTTTAAGCGTCTTCCGTGAAACACGGGCATACTTCCGTTTCCAGGGGCCACTCTCCCCTGGGCTCGTCACCCGTCATCTGTAGGCTTTCTCAGTGGCTCCCTCTCTTTCGCTGACAGGAAAGAAAAATTCCATTCTTCTGCAAAAGTTCCAGAAGGATCTGAACACTGGCGTCTTCAACAATCAGGAGAATGAGATCCTGAAGCAGATCGTGAAGCATGACCGCGAGATGGTGCAGGCAATCGCTCCAATCAGTTATCCCCAAATGACAGCCTTGAATTCCACCTCCTCCACCACGACTCCGACCTCCCGCATGAGGACACAGTCTCCGCCGGTGTACACAGCCACCAGTCTGTCCCACGGCAACCTGCATTCCCCCAGCCCCAGCACACAGACCCCCCAGCCGTCCGCCATCCTGTCGCCCTGCTCCTACACCACTGCAGTCTGCAGCCCTCCCGTACAGAGCCCGCTGGCCACTCGAACTTTCCACTATGCCTCCCCTACTGCCTCCCAGCTGTCACTCACACAGCAGCAGCTCCAGCAGTCCCCGCAGCCCCCACAGCCGCCCCCGCAGCCACAGACGCCCGGCGGCTCCACGCCGAAAAACGACGTGCACAGGAGCACACAGGCGCTCCACAACACCAGCCTGACCCGAGAAGTCCGGCCCCTGTCGGCCTCGCAGCCCTCGCTGCCCCATGAGGTTTCCACTCTCATTTCCAGACCTCATCCCACTGTGGGCGAGTCCCTGGCCTCCATCCCTCAACCCGTGACCGCCGTTCATGGCCCGGGCCTCCAGGCAGGGGGCAGGGGCACCGTCCCCCAGCGAGTCACCCTGTTCCGACAGATGTCCTCCGGAGCCATTCCCCCTAACCGCGGAGCCCCTCCCGCACCCCCTCCACCAGCAGCTGCTCTTCCGAGAGAGTCTTCCTCAGTCTTAACTACAGACCCAGAGGCAGAAAAGCCACGATTTGCTTCAAATTTATGATCCCTGCTGATTGTCAAAGCAGAAAGAAATACTCTAATAAACTGAACATCTTCTCAGACCTTATTTTATTCTATCTCCTGATAGATTCCTATAGCCTACTACGAAGAAATATTTTAGACAGCTCTGGCCTACATGCAAAATGTAAAATATATAAATATATATCTACCATTAAATATCTATCTAAATTCCCAAGTTCAAAAGACCTGTTTAGCATTCAGTGTTATATGTCTTCCTTTCTTTAAATCATTAAAGGATTTAAAATGTTGTTGTAAGATCATTTATTTTTAACCTACTTTTACTGAATTCCTTTGATATATGTATTTCTCTAACTTTAGGAAGAGTTCTTGGATTCAGTGGAAACAAAACTCTGATTTTTAAAAGGCAACTCAAGTGAGCTACTGAATAGCACCAACCAAAACTTCATTCATTAGCTGTGTCTCTGCATCTAAATTGTTAATCATTAATTATGGAGAATTAAATAGCAAGTCCCATTTTATAGATCCAAATTGTATTTTGGTGCTTTCAATTTTGAATTAGGTTACAGAGCACACCGTATGCTTGGCCACGGTTGGAGACTAGCATTGCCACCATTAGGAATATCTCTAACCTCAAACATGTTCATTGATCTTTCAGAAAGCTGAGGGGATATTTGTCTTCATGTGTTATCGGACTTTTACCAAGACTCAATCAATGTTAGTTGTAAATAACTTTTTCAACCCAAATAAAAATAGCTATTCTGTGCTGTATGAAGGTAAAAGTCATCACTTAAGAATTTAGTTTTATTGCTTCACTTCAAAACTTAGAGTTTGAAATTTTACAAAACCTAATTGTGACAGTTATTCAGTAATGCAATGGCTTGAAACCTACAATATTATTTTAACCTGCAATGTTTTATGCAAAACTGTATGCTCAATTCTACAAATTGCTTGTATTACACCAAAAAATCATTACTTTTCTTCCTTCTTGCCATAACCAAGCATCTGAAAATAGTCCCTGCATGCTTTTTGGGGAAAAAAAAAATATAGGTTCAGATCAGTCACTGTAGGGAGAGGCTTACAGTATTTCTCATTTCTAGAAAAATATAACCATTCATTAATTGCCTATCTTAAAATTCCTATATGGCTGACTTGGATCTCTGACTTAAGTCTAGAAGTGAGGTTTTCACTTTCATTTAATATTATTACTATTATTTAAATAATGATTTGTAAACCACAGCTTGATTTGGAGTTGCCAGTGTGTTCTGTGTCTTTACTGTTGGTAGTTGGTAGTTTACCCTGGTGTTGATTTAAAATAACTAAATACACAATAGCATCATGTCTGTTTGGGAACACACACTTTGTTCTATGTATATTGTAATAAAATGGTTAGTAAATCTTAAGGCATGTGGTGACTAACATAGCCCTTAGATAGGAGGTTTGTTATTCTGAATGTGCTGGAAAATGTATGGACGTGATGACAGAAAGCAAGGGGCAAACTGAATGTGAGCATTGTTTGTTTGTCTGTTTCCTTAACTCCCCATGATCTGTGAACATCTGCTGCTTCTCAGAGAAGTCCCTTAGTAATCATTTGTGCCTAATGCATCCCACAAATGTGGTGAATGACTGGAACACAATTGGAAGATTCCTAATAACCGACTTCTGTAAATAACCCAAGTTAAGAGAATGACCTGAAGTGGAGGTCTTTGGTATCTTTGACACTGGTGATACATTCAAGAAGAACTTAACAAAGGTCACACATTAAATGGGGCAGGGCCTCCAGACAGACTTGAGGACAGAAAACAAAACTAAAGCAAAAACTCTAAAATGGATCCATGTTGCCTGTTATGCCTTTTACAGATATAATACCTATAACACCAAAATGAGTTGTTATGTTTCCTTTCTAACAGATCCCAGCTTGTGTGGAAGTAATCAACAATGCTACTCAATGTAATGCTGTCGTTAACATGCTGGTGACATCTGATGGCATGTCAGGAATGGTGTAAAAAGGGGATTGTTCAGTCTACCTAGAACCTATGGGAAAGCTGCAAGACCATTTACATATCAGTACAAAACTCCTTTATTTTATTAAAATATTGAGAATTAACTTCAATTTACTAAGATCACGTATTGGTCCTTTAAATTATTAAAGGTTTACATTTGATAGCACTAATGGGTTTGGTAGTGAAATATTTTTATATATAAATTTTTGGTTTTTTATTTTGAGCACTATTGGGAAACATAAGCAAAATTGAATTGCATGGTCTTTCAGTGCAACCATAAAATTTTTATTCACTTTGTAACAGAATGGACAGAAAACTAAGGTTTATATGTTAAACTAAAAATAAATGGTACAGGGTAAATTATATACATATATATGTATGAATATATATGCTTAGATTAAGAAAAAAAATTGACTCACATTCCTGTAATATAAAAGTCTATTGCTAGTTGAAAAGTGACCTCTTTTCTCTGTACATAGTTAAGCCCATGAGTATGGAGTTTTAATCTGTACAGAAAGAAATGTATTATTGAAAAGATTGGTCTTTCTGCTGCTGGGAAAATAGTAGAATAGCTGATTCTTACAACAACTGTTATGATCAGGGACGAATTAGAGTATTTTGTCTTTGCTTAAAGCCATACATATATAAATATATATAAAGATTATTAATAAATTCAACAGAAAATAAACTAACATCATGAATAGTTTATTTTATCAGTATACTCTAATCAAATGTTTTGTTTTATTAATGAGTACAGATTTGCCTCTTTCTACCTTTACATCGTAAGATCTCCAAGTGGGCTTATACTTGACAATCATTATAAAATTAATTATAGATAAGCCCATGACTATAGCGAGGAAGGTAAATAGAACGTGGGTTTCCCATTTGTCCCTGTGTTTTACCTCTTCCATATAGTATTAGTTGAAGTCTACTTATTCTTTGCTCTGTACCTCCTTAACATGTGGTTGTTGCCCAATTCCAAAACACAGTCATTTCTGTGCTATTAGATTTGGAGATGGAAAAAAATCACCTTACAATTTATTATACAAACCTCTTTTATGACAGCCTTCGGCCTTGCAAAGGTTTTTGATAGTGATAGAACCTCCCTTTACAAGTGGATTTTGAATCAGACCTAAGAGCCTGACATAGCGTTTATTGCATTGAATGAAGGATTCTTGAAAACTGTAAGGATAAATGGCAGGAATGGCAATAGATTCTATTCATCAAATAAATAGCCTGTCTCCGGGTCTCAGGGACCACTCCATAAGTGAATGATTGATTCCCTGACGGATGCCATCCCACTTTAAAATGGTGGTTATTTTGCAATTTATAAACTTAAGTGAGCATAACATCTGCAGGACATTACAAAGTACACAGTCAAGTTAGGCTAGTTCCTAAAGGACTTGGGTAATTTAAACAATATGATGTGTTTTAAACTTTAGATGTTATTATTTTAAATCCTGAATTATTTACACTTTAAAATAGAAGTGATCTCTATCATCCTTCAGGCCTATTTTTAAAAGTCCCCATGACTTCTTAAATTTAAGTGTTTATATTTGTTAATTTTATAATGTTACTATGCTACTTTGCTCTTATGAATTTTACTTTTATAATTTATGACATTAAGCTGTGTGAACAAGATTTATCTCCCTGATGCCTCTATCCTTCTAGAATTTGTACCATAAAACCCAAGTCTGATTATTTTGTTCATCTACACTGCACCTAGCAAAATCTTATTACATGTTCTGCCTATTTGAAAATTACTATTCTCTGCAATACAAAAGAAATGTAGTCCTTTTAGAATAATTGGATGCTGAGCATCAATAACTATTTTGAGTCCTGAAAGTAATGGTCAAAAATTTAAGCAAGTGTGACTGGCTGCATGCACTAAATTGTTAGCTCGGTTCTATAACTTTATTTAGTATGTCCTCTTTCCGGGAAAAGAAGATGGAATAAAGAAAATTTGCTGTTGTATTCAGGGTTAAGTATGCCTGCTCCTGGCACTGGGAGGGGGGACTTTCTTAAGCAATTTTGGTTCTGTCCTTTTTAAAAATGGCATCTATTTTTTTATAAACCGGCCAACAATGAATTCAATCATGAAGAGAACTCCTGCTTTTAAAAGAGAGCAGAGAAAGTACAAATTACCTTACTTAAATTCATCAAGGATGCAGGAGCAAATCCAGCCAGAAGACCCATATTCTCCTCCTCCCATTTTGGAGTTTTTGGCCAAACGCCACATTCCTTCCTTCCCTGGGAGCAATTAACATTTCTGTTAATATTTGTCACTTTGTTCTTCTTCATTTTCTTTATAGTTTCAGGGCATGAGAAACATGAGCTTTTCTATATAGGAAGAATTTCATGGCATATTCACAAATCTATCACAAGACAAAGGTAATTCCATTATGTTACTCAAAAGAAAATATTTGCAGTTTTGTAACACCTGGCTGCTTTTCAATTTTGAATACTCTCCCAGTGAAATCATTGCTACCTTTTCCCAGATTCAAACATGTTCTCTCTGCCACTGAGCCATCAGATAGGGAGAGGGTCTCCCTAAGCGAGGCCAGCACAAGTGTAACAAGGGTGAGGCCTCATGCACAAAAATTGAAGTGGCCCAAATCTCAATAACAAAGGAAAATAATATTTTAACACAACTTTTAAAAAAACCAAAATTAAACTAATAGTTGACAATGAACCAAATGTCACAATCTTAAATGACAAGATCCAACCCTGCGCCTGCATGACCCTGCCTCAGTTGCCTCCTTCGTCCTGGCCCTGCTTCCTATGGAGACTCTGATGGGGCAAAAAGGGCTTTGAAGGGTTTCTGTGGTAGAAGTCTTGCCCTGATTTGCCCCATCACCCTTGAGAAATATTAAAAGGCGCTGTCCATAAGGTTCTGGGTTTATTTCCAAGAGTAATGAATTAAATGCTGGACAAAGAATTAACCTTTCTTGACAAAGGAAGCATGCTTTGCTCAAGTATGGATGTTCACCAGCACAGCTGACTGGGCCCATTGGCCAATATC